CAGCCTAATAACATTCATACCTCCACTTTTTAAAACGTACTATAGACACACACAAAATCCACATCTTTTTAAGTCAATCCTCTGCCCCTAACAAGTTCAACTCTTGTAACAAAAAAAGCAGTGTTTTCAAACTGTCTATTTTTACAACAGATCTTAACACTAAAGGAGAAGCCACAGCATACATAACAGAAGGTTTTTCTTGTGTGCTTAGAAAATGTTTAATTGGTTTTAGAAAAGCTGAAGGTTCACTTGAATATTTATAAACAAGAAAAGTTCTGCTTATACTTCTCAGCCATGATATTCATATATAACAAATGTACATTGACAGGAAAAATTTTAACACTCTAAGAAATACAGATATAACTCAATGATTCTATGCATCCCAATTCCAGAGCATATGCAGTACAAGCCTCTAAAAAACTTGCACCCTCATTTTAAAATGAGTGAAAGTAGTTTAAAAGAACAAGTGTGTTTCACCAGCTAACTAAGATAGATAAGAAAATAGCTAAAAAGTTAAACTGTACATCCATAAAATCAAAACACATATTTATACTTTTTTCATAGAGGATAAAAATTAAAAGATCATTGATGTTATTCAAGTGAACCTTTTATTTATAAACTCTAAAGAGAAATAAGTAGGTACCTCCAATTTTGAGACATTTAGGAGCCAACTTTTGCTCATCTATTTTATAAAATATGTAAGAATACAAATAGTCACATTTCTTCCTTTCTGTGCATGCACCACTGTTCTTTCTTATTCCTGAGTTTTTACCCATTATTGCAGGAGCTTCATTATTGGATAGAAGTAAATGGTGATTTAAAAATTCATAACTGTTGTATGACGTTGCAGTTTGAATCAAATGTGTTAGAAGTATCTCTGAAGATAAAGAGGATTTTTTAGAAACATGTGGGAATGGTCTGTTTTTTTCTCTTCTGCCTACTGTCAGTCTTAATGCTGCAAGCTTGGATGTTACTATCCAAGTACCACCCAAATGGAAAGTTGTTATCCCAGGAATTACATCAGAGTCAGGGCTACTTCACTTTTTCATCTAACTGCAACAATTTCCTGGTATTTACACAAAGACAATAATTTGGAATACAGGATGTTTGTTGCAACCTGATTTAGTTTACACTAATTAAATGTGATGGTATACCTGGAATTTTTGGGATCTACAGGAGTCATGCCCCTGATATACATCATGTCCAACAGCTGCTGAATGCACCAGCCAAGTATTTGGAAGATAGCAGGTAGCACTTCATACTTAGCCCATTTCTAGTAGAAAGGTTATTTTCCACAATGTGACACAAAGATGATCAAGAAACATATTAGCACAGGTACATAGTTAGGGTGGTAACCCAAACAGTTCTGTAAATGTGCTAGCAACTCAATGCACAAGTAAAAGTATTTGTTGTAAAATGTATGCTTAATGCTGAATTTTGAAACTATAAACGTATAACTTACCATATATAAGCTTCATTAATGCTCCACTAAAAAGCTTCATTATTGTACAGAACACTGCTAGACATTGTTTTGACAGTGCTTCAGATCAGGGAGCCAGCTGATATTCCTTCAAATGAACAGTAAACGGAATTTGGAAGAAGTGGTGGAAAAATCAGTTCACCTAAAACATAATACTAGAGAAAAAACAGCTAGCACTGTGCAAATTATTTTGACCCATTAAGTTGTAAGAGTAAGTTCTCATGTATGCACCCTTCATCTTGCTATCATTATTTATGCCATACATTCTCTCTCTCTATTTTCTGGTAGTCTGTGTGGGTTTGTCTCAAGCAAAGAATACAATTTCATGAACATCTGGTGTGAAATCCTCGCCTCACTGAAGTCAACAAGTTTAGGATTTCACAGACAGTGTTTTCTTCTAACAATTCTAATCTTAAAAGTAAATTCTGTTGCTTTACTAGCACAACTGTTCATTTATTCAGCATTTATCCTTTATAAAAGGAAAAGACTCTCCATTTACTTCCATACCCTGATGAAGCTCATTATATATTGGTTAAAAATTCAAGAAAAGTTAAGGAAGGGTGGTGAATCCCAAAGGGAAGTCCAACCCAAACTTCTGAATACATGTGTATCCTGTGTCTCATGCAGTTTAATAATACCCTAAATTAAACAAAATAATAACTTACAAATAGCTGTATTAGCAATTGACTTCATTGTTAAGCAGGCTTCCCTTTCTTCTTGGGTGGTCCTTTGTATCCTTTGGCCTTTCTTCGTAAGTTCCTCCGATCTACTATTGGTACCTCAATTTCTGCTTCTTCTGAGCTGCTGTCAGCAACTCTCTCCGCTGCTGTGTGTGAGTACTGATCCATCTGCTCAGAAGACTCTTCAGACAGCTCTTCTGATTGGTTCTTTTGACCTTCTGAATGTTGCTGGAATGACACATCCTCAAGTTCAACCACTATCAAAGAACTCTGACCAAGGACAACAGGGGTTTCTTGTGAGTCATGCCCTGCTTCCTCACTTTGCTCTTCCATGGAAGATGATGCATTGGGTGATACATTTTCAGAAGCAGATTCTTCTAGTGCTTCAGTTACCACAGAGTCTGAAAGGCCATTATCAGATGGTTCTTCCTTTGGCACTGAACTTATAGTATCTGCACTTTCATCAGATGATTTCTTCCTTTCGGCTGCTTGCTGCTCCTCTTCAGTACCCTCTTTTTCCATACTTTCTTCCGTCAGTATTTCTGAATCAGTTGTGTTCACAACCTGAAGGGAAAAACAGTCAAGGAAACAATTCACACATTCTTGAGCTGATACACTGACTCTGGACCATCCCTTGTAATGTGCTGAACACCTCAGCTTGCAATGGGCGTTTGGAAGCACTCAGCAATTCAAAGTATTATGCATACATAACAATCCTCTCCTTACCCTCTCTCACTAGCCAGCTTCTTGGTTTAGGGCTCTGCTTTTTCCTAAAACTTTGAAAATTCAAACATTCAGAGGATCACTCACACACAACGGGGCACACTTCGAAATTAGTGCTGAGGTAATAAGTATATGGACACTGGATTTTCGGTACCCTTTCCAATAGTTAACATTCTGTTTGGTGCCTATAATTGTGCCTTTAAGTTGTACATTCCTTGAGGTGTCAATCTCCCACTCTACTGTATCTAATATAAGCTATTTGTCTTCATTGTCAAGGCCCTTCAAGACCTATCCACACCCTACCAATCATCTTTCAGTATCAAAGAGTCAGCTCCCATCTCCAATCAGACCATAATGCCAGCTACCATCACTGTTCAGTTTTCAAACCAGAATCTTCGTGCTTTCTCTTGTGCTGCTCCCCACTCTTGGGGGAAGCTCCTGGCACACATCCACAAAACTACATCATCCTCCTTGAAAATCTCTTGAACTCTTTTGCCACGAGGCCTACAAAAAACTTCACAACAGTTCAGATGCTGCTGTGCTGAGACCACAGTGTCATGGTGACCAACACTGTTTCATTGTTTCTGTGTTCTCCCATCTGTCTGTATTTATCTCTTGTCTTGGATAGATAGTAATGTTCTTTGCAACAGGAACCATTGGATCTGTGTGCAGTACCATGCACAATGAGGTGTTATTGTATTACAAAAAAAATAAAGTTTCTTATACTTTCAGCAATTAATTAGTGCAATATATTTTACTTTTGCCTATTCATTTTATCAAGTCTAAACACTGAGAGACATTACTAGAGAGAGAGATGAGTTTTTGAAAAAGGCTACCTTCCCCCAAGATAGAATCATAGAATACTAGGACTGGAAGGGACCTCGAGAGGTCACTGAGTCCAGTCCCCTGCCCTCATGACAGCACCAAATACTGTCTAGACTATCCCTGATAGACATTTATCTAACCTACTCTTAAATATCTCCAGAGATGGGGATTCCACAACCTCCCTGGGCAATTTATTCCAGTGTTTAACTACCCTGACAGTTAGGAACTTTTTCCTAATGTCCAACCTAAACCTCCCTTGCTGCAGTTTAAGCCCATTGCTTCTTGTTCTATCCTCAGAGGCCACGATGAACAAGTTTTCTCCCTCCTCCTTATGACACCCTTTTAGATACCTGAAAACGGCTATCATGTCCCCCCTCAATCTTCTCTTTTCTAAACTAAACAAACCCAATTCTTTCAGCCTTCCTTCATAGGCCATGTTCTCTAGCCCTTTAATCATTCTTGTTGCTCTTCTCTGGACCCTCTCCAATTTTTCCACCTTTCTTGAAATGCGGTGCCCAGAACTGGACACAATACTCCAGCTGAGGCCTAACCAGCGCAGAGTAGAGCGGGAGAATGACTTCTCGTGTCTTGCTCACCACACACCTGTTAATGCATCCCAGAATCATGTTTGCTTTTTTTGCAACAGCATCACACTGCTGACTCATATTCAGCTTGCAGTCCATTATAACCCCTAGATCCCTTTCTGCCATACTCCTTCCTAGACAGTCACTTCCCATTCTCTATGTGTGAAACTGATTGTTCCTTCCTAAGCGGAGCACTTTACATTTGTCTTTATTAAACTTCATCCTGTTTACCTCAAACCATTTCTCCAATTTGTCCAGATCATTTTGAATTATGACCCTATCATCCAGAGCAGTTGCAACCCCTCCCAGCTTGGTATCATCTGCAAACTTAATAAGTGTACTTTCTATGCCAATATCTAAATAGTTGATGAAGGTATTGAACAGAGCCGGTCCCAAAACAGACCCCTGCAGAACCCTACTTGTTATATCTTTCCAGCAGGATTGAGTACCATTAATAACTACTCTCTGAGTACAGTTATTTCTCAGAGGTGTACATGAGTATTGTTAAGGGAGATAGGACCAAAGCATTGTTTTCCTTAGTTTTAGGAAGCAGAGCTTCCTTGCACTGCATATTACTAAACTCCTTTTATTTTATTTATTACTGATTACTACTAAACACCTTTTATTTATGGATTTTGCTATATGTTCTGGTAATTCCTTTTGCAAATAATTCAGAGTCTATACTTATTTAATAAATTAGCTTAATATATGCATTGTAGGAAAAAAGACCTAAAGTATCATTTTGTTGTACTTCCCTCACCTTATCTGATGCTGTATCTTCAGAAGATTTCACTGAAGAGTCAAGGATTAATGGAACAAACAGAGTTAAAGATTCTTCTTCTGGATTATCAGACTGTAATTTGGATTCACCATCTAGTATTTCACTAGCTGTTTCCTCTTCACTCATGAGTGATGTTTTGATAGTTTCTTCCATTAGTTCACCATTGAGTGGCTCTGATTCAGTTTCCTAAAATGATATTTTTAAGTCAAATTAGACACATCTGTTGTTCGGAACATCAGCGTAACTAACTCAGAGGCAAAATTGATATCATCTACATTTGTTATTACTCTCTAAGGGTATGTCTACACTACAGCGCTAATTCAAACCAAATTAGTTCAAATTAGTTCGAACTAACGCATCCAGACTAAAAAACTAGTTAGAATTAGCATTTTGCTAATTCGAACTAGCATGTCCAAACAGAGTGGACCCTGAACCGGGGTTAAGGCTGGCCGGAAGCAGTGCCGGCAGGGCATCAGATGACGACTTAGAGCGTGGAGCTGCTGTCTCAGGCTAGCCGAGGGCTGTGCTTAAAGGGACCTGACCCCCACCCCGGACAGACAGTTCTCATGGGTGCCCCGCTTGCAAAGCAGTCCTGGCTTGGATTGCCCGAAGTACCCACACTGGGCACATCACAGCACTCGGCCATCAGACCGGCTGCACTTGCCGCAGGCTGCCATCTGGGGAGAGGGGGCAATTGGGGAGCTGCAGGAGAGCTTCCACCCCCAGAAGCCTGCAGAGCCAGCCCAGTCCTCCCCATCGGGGGCTCGTGCCCCATTCCTCCCTCACCTCCTTCCACTTACCCTTCCCTAGCCCCCCTTCCTGATGTACAAAATAAAGGACAATTGTGTTCAAAAATAGAATCTCTCTTTATTGAACAAAACTGGGGGAGACTGGGAAAAGGAGGTGGGAGAGGGGAAGAGAGAGGGTGGGAGAGGGGAGGGCAACTACAATGATTAGGGGTTTGGAACAGGTCCCATACGAAGAGAGGCTAAAGAGACTAGGACTTTTCAGCTTAGAAAAGAGGAGATGGAGGGGGGATATGATAGAGGTCTATAAAAGCACGAGTGGGGTGGAGAGGGTGCATACAGAAAAGTTCTTCATTAGTTCCCATAACAGAAGGACTAGAGGACACCAAAGGAAAGGAATGGGTAGCAGGCTTCAAACTAGTAACAGAAAG